TCAGAATTTTAATTAAAGGGTTATTTAAGAATAAAAAAGAGGGAATGCTTGGTGAATAACTCTGTATAATAATATAATATTTTACATAATATAATATACCTAATTTTTCTATGTGAAAATGTCATTCTAATAATTATCTTAAATCARTTTATCATATTTCATAGAATGGTTTTGCCTGTTAATTCAATGTCAGATTCGTTAGATGATACTAGTGAAGGCGTCGGATTGGGTTGCTGTTTAGTATTGTTTACAGAATGGAAACAAGTTCTTGACTTTATTGATGAACTACCTGAAATCTATACAAATGAAAGTCAAAGTGAAAATTCGTATGAAAAATTCAAATATATACTTACACAATACACAGAACAACCTCATTTAATTGATCCATATTTGTGTGAAATACTGGAAAAAATTTTGTCTATTGTCCGTGATACTTCAAAACCATCACTGCTAAAGCATAAGGCTTTTCGTTATTTGTTCCTAGTGGTCAGTGTTAGAGGTTATAAAGTTGTTTTGCGAAATTTACCACACGAGGTAAGCTTACAAGAATTTAAAAAAAAACTATTATAATATAGTATATATTGTGTAAAGATATTTATGATAATTTACATATAATTTTAATAATTTTTAGGTTTCCGATTTAGAAAAAGTCTTAAAAATGTTAGAAGAACAAAATGAATCTGATCATGACTCTTGGGAAACTCGTTATTGTCTTTTGTTATGGCTATCTATTATTGTTATTATACCATTTGATATGCGTAAACTAGATRGAACCATGAATGCAGAGTGTAAAACTACATTGCAAAGGTTTTTAAAAATATATTTTTAGAATTTTTATACCCTGTTCAATAAAAGAAACTTTGGTGGCCTGATACTTTGCATGGTGGTGGCATGCTATTTCAATGGTTTACTATTTGGTTAAGTTGCCAAATTTTCTTCTCAGATTTTAAATAAATATATAATATAATCCCATATTTTATCGATACTTATTTTCAAAATTTAGATTAGTTGATGTGGTCATGACATATTTAAGTTCTGGTGATGCTTGTAGAGATATGGCAACAGTTTTAGCAACTCGCCTGTTTACCCGATCAGATGTTAAAGAATCTCATCTTCCAATTTTTCTGGATTGGGTTAAACTGGTAATTGTTTRAAATTCATTTAGTCAAAATATGTTTYTGTTGTACCTATTAAAATGTATGTATGTGTAGAAAATATCAGATGAAAAAGCTACTCGATGGGAGAGGTTGGGTGCGATGAGCAGCATTGCAGCCATTTTTAAAGCTGCTAGACGAGAAGATGCTCAACATTTTGTAGAAGATATTTTTGAATGCCTTAAATTGTCAAAATGTAAAAGTGATACTCTGAGATTAACACGSAAATATTACATGAAAATTGTACAAAGAGCTGGTTGGTGTTTAATTATGTTAATAATAAGTGAATGAAATACTAAAATGTTCAAAATTATTTACTGATTTAATTAGGTTTAACATTACTAAAAGTACGAATCGCAGCATGGCGTTACGATCGTGGAACTAGGTCATTAGAACAGAATTTATTAAGCTCTGAACCACATAAAATTGAAACAAAATGTCTTCAAATTGCTGAAGAAGACGATTATGAAATTTCTTCACTTTTAGAAGACATTATACAAGAATTAATTGAAGGATTAAAAGACACCGATATTATTGTCAGGTAAGCTTATGAATATTTTATTTCRAAATGTATATTAATTATTTTTTATATAGATATTCAGCTGCTAAAGGAATAGGTCGAATTACTGGACGTTTATCAAAGACATATGGCAATGAAGTAGTAAATGCTGTGTTAAGTATGTTGAGTCCTGAAGAAAATGATAATGCTTGGCATGGAGGATGTTTAGCACTTGCTGAATTGGGTATATTCAAATATAATATTATTTTTATTTAAAATAACTATAATAATAATTGCTTAATTAATTTTTAGGTCGTCGTGGTTTACTTCTCAGTGAAAATTTACCTCTTGTTGTACCTGCTGTTATAAAAGCTTTGGTGTATGATGAACCTAAGGGTTATACATCGGTTGGATCACATATTAGAGATGCAGCTTGTTATGTTTGTTGGTCTTTTGCAAGAGCATTTAGTACTAATGATATTCAGCCATATGTGGAAGAAATCGCTGGTGCTTTATTAGCAGTTGCTTGTTATGACAGAGAGGTAAATWAGAATATTTARAATACATTTATGACTTGYTRTAGTATGGTGTCTGTTAATAATTATTTGTWATTCAGTTGACATGCCGTAGAGCAGCTTCCGCAGCATTTCAAGAGAATGTTGGTCGTCAAGGTAAATTTCCACATGGAATTGACATTGTGACAGCAGCTGATTATTTTTCAGTTGGTATGCGTACTAATGCTTATTTAGAAGTGAGCGTTTTTATAGCTCAGTATAAAGAGTATGATAAACTTCTGATCAAACATCTGTTAGAAAAGAAAATAGTACATTGGGACACATCAATACGCGAATTGGCTGCAATGGTATGTATGATGTCTATTTTTTTACTATTTAATATTAAAAATAATAATATATTTTTTTTAGACTTTGGGAAGACTTGTAGAATTAAATCCATCGAAAGCTAAAGAATCAATTTTTCCAGAGTTACTATTATTAACAGAAACATCTAACATTAATAAACGRCATGGAGGCGTTATGGCTATTGGAGAAGTATTAAATGGAATATCTAAGACTCTTGACCCTAAYATTGAGTTAGGAGAAGAACTGTTAGAGAAAATAATTAATCTTGTTCTCAATTTGAAAAATCATGGAAAATTAAAAGGCATCAGTAGTGAATTRGTAAAAATGGCATGTTGTCACCTTATTAAACTCATATCGACAAGTAACATAATTGTTAAAGACAAACAAATTATAGGTATGGTTTATTAAATAATTGACWTATAAAATCTAGTCATTTAATCATTTTAATTGTTAAATAATTAATATTATTAATTTCTTGTCCCTWATTTAGATGAATGGAGATTATTGTTGGAAGATTGTTTGTCTAATGAATTGTTAGATTTACGAAACAARGCTGCTCAAGCTATTGGCCCTTTATTTGAAAAATATTATATCCCAGATTCATCTGATACCAGCACTATAATAAATGCATATGTACAAAAATTGTCTTCAAATCACATGATGGAACGCATTGGTTTTAGCCTAGCATTGGGATCATTACCTTCTTCATTCATGAATACTTATATTGTATTAATACTGAAAGGCCTCATAGACTGTACCAAAATAACTCGACCAACAATCAAGTGGGCTGAATCTCGAAGAGATGCAGTAACTGCTATAGAAAAAATTTGGACCAAACTGATTTCTACTCCTTGTATGTTCCAATTCAATTCAATTCTTTATTTTTATTTTTTATTGTACCTTAATTTTAAATTGAATRGGTAATTAAATTAGATGTTTATTTTTTATATTTYTGTATATTCACAGGCTACGTGAATAATTGTATAGAACATTCAAATGCAGTATTACGTTGTTTATTAGACTGTGCTTTAGAGTATACTATGGATCATAGAGGTGATGTTGGAGTTTGGGTAAGAGAAGCCGCCATCACTAGTTTAGAGGTATTAGTACTAACAATTTTTTATTTTATTATAAAATATTTAACACAATTGTATTTCTTATTAATGTTCAATTATTTAATTAAGGTAGTCGTATTAGATTTGACTGATATTCAGCCAAACATACTGGATGAAAACACARTTAAACAAATTATGTGTGCTCTAGTTAGACAAGGTGTTGATAGAATAGATAAAATTCGAGGACTTTCGTGTATGGTTATAACAAATTTACTGCATAGGTTAGTAAGAAAATATTTTTGAATATTATCRAATTTACGTAACTAAATGTTTTTTATAGGAAAAAAAATATTGTTCCTAATATTGCTCATCGAAATGAACTTGAACGATTGTTTAGAAAAAAAGATTCGTTTAATTGGTTCACAGAATCTGACTCCTTTTCTGTGATGGTGAAATTTCTAAGTATGCCTGAATACAAGTATCCTGTGTTAGTTGGTCTATTAGTTTGTATTGGTGGTGTTTCAGAAAGCCTAGTAAGTGTTTTATATTTATAATATTATGTATCATATTTTTATCTCATTGATACTATGAATGTTTATTTATATAGGTAAAAGAAGCTTGTCTCAATTTCACCAAACACATGAAATCTGTAACTGATGACGAATTCGAAAATTTATGCAATGACATTATTGCTGTATGGAGTGGTAAAGTAGCTGAAGTTGATGTTGATGAACGAATTCATCAGTGTATATTGATGTCWATTGAACGACTAGCTACAGCTGGAGCTTTTAAGGATCAATTCGAACGCAATGAATCAGAATTTGCTGCTAATATACTAACACTTGTAAAAAAAGAAGCTATTTCTTCTAAAGGAGGTTCAACCAAATTAACATCATGTGTTGAATTACTTTGTCATATAGTACAGGTAAGAAGTACTTTATATTTCACATTGGCAATGGTTAAGTACTTAAGTTTTTTATTTTTTATCAGGTTCCTGGACAAGTTGGAATACGGTCAATGACTCAACTATCAATATTTTTAGCACATAGATTCGCATGGTTACGAAAAGTAGTAGCAGCTCGACTAGTTGAAGTTTTAATTGTGTATTCAGATATGTTTGGTGTATCAGAAGAAAATATAAACAAAGTCGTTGAATTACTTGAAGAATTTGATTGGCAAGACTCTAGTGTAGAAAAAGTAAGAGCAGAGCGAAACAAAATTTGTGGTCTTCTRAATGTACCCATTCCAAAAGTTATTGTAAAACCTAATAATTTGCACTGATAGTTCTATATATTTTATTTTTATTATTTATACTAACTATATTAACTTCTTTGATGTAATACTTTATTTTCTTATTTTTTTAATATTTGTTATCCATTTTTAACTGATGATATTTTTCATTATGTTAGAATATAAATAAACGCTTACAAAGTAATTACTACTATATTATAATTGTTAATCATTACTATTATTAAATATCAATATTAGATTGGTTAATGTTGTTAATCAAAACAGTGTCTTCCAGTGATTCATTATGTTTAGATAAACTGWTTTCTTGGGTGGTTATTGAATTCTGATTAATGACTTCTGGATTTGGCAGTGTAATTATTAAACCTTTACTTTCAAGATAACATTTAGCTTTRTCAATTGCATCCTGGGTAAACTTGTCTTTATTTTCATTCATATAATTATATGTCCATAGATCAAGCTCAACAATTATAAAAACTGATCCTCTTACATGTAATTTTGCACCTAAAACAGTAATGATTATAACTTCTAATCATATTAGTTTTAAATTGTAATTGCATATTGAATAAGTAAACTACATTCATGTTTAAACAATTATACCCATATTTATTCATTATTAATCGAGCAGATTTAAATATGTAGCTCATTAACAAAATGTATAATAGAATATTTACCAATAGCGAAGTCTTTGGTTCCATAAAATTGATCTTCATCTACATTAGTGCCTGGTTTTCGTAACCTTGTATATGACATGAATCGTCCTTTAATGAATCCACTATTCTTACTAGCCAATTCGACTATACTCATTTGGCCATTGCCAAGRCAATATTCCATAATGAAATCACGAAGATTGTCTACTTCATATACTGGTACCATCTTCAATTTATATCTTAGTTTTTTACTAGCATTTAGCACATATGTAACAAAATCCAATGTTTTYGGGGCTTTAGGTATCAGTGATAAACAATTCTGCCGTGTATCATCTGGATCACCAATACCTGTGTGAGGCGGGATCACCTTTCAATTCATACACATAAAAATTTATTTAAAAAACTTTGAGTACCTAAGTTGCTTAGTATAATTACCAATTTAGATACAGTTGAAACATTATCTTTTGGTTTAAAGACTTGTATAGCATCAGGTTGAACAATTTGTAAATTGTTTTTAAAGTAATCTCTAGTAAATGAATCACAATCGTAAAGTAAAAATCTAAAAATAGAACAACAGTTTATATATTTGAGAAAATGATTTAAAGTTTAACGCTTTAAAATATCTACCTACGACCCATCACAAAAATAGTATTTCCTATGATAAAATCTTTTGGTTGATAATATTCTTCATATTCTTTGTTTCCAGGTTCCAAATAAATAGATGGAAAATTTGCTAAAAGTCAAATAAAATTTATTAAAAATAAATTGTAATTAAGTACATAATATTATAGTTTATAATAAAAACAAATGCTGTCTAGSATAGGCTACCCAYATTCGCAACAAATGACTAGGTMTCAAAAATCTTCAAAGGCAGTTTCACCTCCTTTTTTCGTCCAAACATGTCACAYTCCATCATAAAATTCTTATCTACAAGCTACTYCTCAAACCTATTTGGTTCAACGGAATTTAACTCTGGAGRTCAGGCAATGACTCAAATATGAACAGAATCCATACACTTCAATCCAAATGCCTCAGACAAATAATTAAAGCTCCTTTTTATGTACCAAATGATACTCTCCACAGGAACCTCATTCCTACAATCAAAGGCGTTGTTAAAACTCTTTAAAAACGTATTTGCCTTAAACTAGCAAACCACCGAAATCTCCTCATCCAAAAYCTTTTTTTCTGAACAATCCCAGCCCCCAGGTGACCCTGGTCAACGTTTAGCTGATGCAGTGACTTATTAAACRACTAGTCGACTAACCACTACTGCCAACGCCATGAAGTACTATTATTGAATAATTTTTTCTACCAATCCCTCTTATGTATTCCTCCATCTATTGTGCTTATTTTACAAATATTTTATACAGATTGTATAAGTTAATATTAATATATAAAAAAAAAAAATAAGAACAATAAAAAAAAAACAATCTTGCAACAAAATATTATTTTATAA